GGCATGGAGCTACTGCAGCTAGTCCAAGACCATGGGGCAAAACGAGACCTGAGTCCTGGCTCAGTTGCCTGCTCTTGTTGCTACATATTACTTCTGGCAAAGGGGTCCCAGCCCAGCGTTCACTTACAGGTGGAGAATCCTGATGGCAGGCAAGGGAACTGCTGTGGATGGGCAGAGTGGGCCGAGGGAGGCTGAGAGGGAGCTGCACTGCCCCTTGAACCCTGAGGCTGTGTGGGCAGGGAAGTGAGCTGAGGAGGGGGAGAGCAGCTGGTGTTCGGGTTTCAGCCTGGCCCAGCCTGCTCTGCCCTCCTTGCTCAGGTGCTGGTGCCTGCATTCCCACCCTGGGAAGATGGCAGGGACCGGTGTTCCAGCCTCTTCCATAGGGGTACTTGTGGGAGGCAGCCCCAGTTCCATGGGCTGGGCCTGTTTCTGTGCTGTGCAGATGATGCTGGACAAAACCACCCCTGGGAGCGGGCAGGAGCCGTGCAGGGAGCACGAGGGCAGCATGGGGCTGCGCTTGTCGCAGCAAAGCATCTCAGCTCTGGACTGTTCGCTGAGCTGGCCACACTGTTGGTGGCTGGGATGGTTATTGGGGCATATGCAGGCTGCAGTGCTTGGAAGCAGGGATCTGCGGGAGAAAATAGGAAAATGGGGCTTCTGGCCTCCCTTTCCCCTGCACAGGCACTTCTTCTGGTCTTGCAAATGAGGAGGGTTTGGTGCAGGGTCAGAAAAGCTCCCAGCCCCTCCCCAGGCCCGCAGTTCCCCTCCCAAGGCACTGCTCAGGTCCTGGGCAGGTGGCAACCACTGCAGAGCCGTGCGCCTGCTCCATCCATCCCTCCATGCTCACGTCACAGCTGCAGTGTGCCGCAAGCGGGGCCACCCAAAAAAAAAGGAGCCGCCCTGCGCACAAAAGGGTCCCCACCACTGCACCCTGTCCCCCCCTGCCAGGAAGCCCCTGCTACCGCCTCCCGTAGCCTCATCAGCCCCCTCTGAGCAGGCGTTCCCACTCCCACCACTGTAACGGGTCTCCGAGCATCCCAGCTCAGCCCCACAGCCCTGAATAAGCCCCTTGTTGGAAAGGCTATTTTGGGAGGGTCTAGGACCTGCTCCCCCTCCCCCAGAGCCTGCAAAGCATTTTCCTCCTGCTCACTGGCTGTAGCTGAAACATTGCTGCTATTCATCCAGCTCCCGACGTCCCTGCGGCAGCCAGGCCGAAGAATGGGGAGCGTCCGGCACGTCCCATTCATCCGTCACCTCAATAGCTGGGAGCACTGGCCCCAGGTCTCTGCCGGCCCCCATGCACAAAAGCAGCCTGGCCATGGATGGAGTAGGCGCCTCCCATTCCTCTCCTAGCGCTGTCTGGTTTTGCATTGATTAAAAATGGGTTTTGGTCCCTTGGCAGTGATTAGATAAAGGAAAAGGCACCCCGACACCTGGGCTGGGAGGTGGGAAGGGTGGGGGTTGGCCGAGTACCCCAGCCCCAAGGCGGTGGTCCCAGCCCTGCTCGCCCTTCCCTGCCACGTGGTCCGACTGCACCAGAAACCTCTGCAATGGAAGGGGAGGCGCGACAGGAGTTATCCTGGCGGCCGCCACATGCCGCAGAGCCCCCAGCCACTCACCGGATTGATTCATTCCCATTATTGCCCTTGGAAAGGGGCTCAGAGGAATGCTCTGTTTCGGATGCTATGCATCATGGGCTTGGCTGGGAACAGGAGATGAATTGCCCCCGTGCCAGCTCTTGCTTTGCACAGCCTTGGCAGAGATAAATTCTTCCCTTCACCTAGCGGTGCTGTGCCTGGCGAAGGGGAGCTCAGCCTGCTGCTAGGGAGCCCTGTGGCTTTAATGTGTGCCCTCAGATGCTTGAACTTGCTGGTGGGGTCTCGGCGTTAGCTCAAAGCACGGGCCTGTCCCATTCCCATGTTCTGGTTTGCTCCATGCACCCAGATCCCTTTGACATCTGCCAATTGAGAGCAGCAGGGCTGTGGCTGTGCTGGCAGGGACTGGCTAGTCCCCACATTCAGCACTTGTCCCCAGCTCCTGAGCTGCGGCTGTTGAAATCGTTCCTGCTCCATAAGCTCTAGAGTAGCCTGGGGGAATGGGTCAGTCTGGGGGTGCTGGGAGCTGTGCTCTGCACAGGAAGGGTTGGAGGAGTGCCTGGTCTCATCCCAGCCTGGGATAAATCAGCCCAGTTTGGTTTTGATGCAAACCACAGGCAGAGCAGGCAGTAAGGCGGCTGCTGCCTGCTGCACTGCTGTGCTGGTGTGAGGTCCAGTCCCTTGGGAAGATACCTGTGGGCTGGACCATGGTGTGGAAGCAGTAAACTGCTTCTGGTGTTCTGGCTCTGCTGATGACTTCTCTCTCCCTCTGGTTCTGGCCTCCAGGATGACATGACCGACTCCCTGCGGGATTACACCAACCTGCCCGAAGCTGCGCCCCTGCTCACCATCCTGGACATGTCAGCCCGAGCCAAGTATGTGATGGATGTGGAGGAGATCACACCCGAAATCGTGGAAGCCTTTGTCAGCGACTTTCTAGCAGACAAGCTAAAACCTGAGCCCATCTAAGGGGGCTTCTGCGCCAACAGACATTATTTAAAACTAGGTCTCTCTTCCGCCGCTTGTGGATTCTCCAGCGTGTCCTCACGCCCGACCCAGTATCCAACCTTCTTGTGGTGCCTTGTTTTACGCAGTGAATCCTTCTCCTAAGCAAACTCCTTGAGATGCACTTTCAGCAGGGAGTTGTTGGCGTTTGGAGACTTCGCTTGTGCTTCATGGTGATATATTCTCTAATAACCAGGCCAGAACTGTTATTGTTGTTTTATACATGGCACTAGCTAGCAGGCAAATCTTTTTGCATGGTGTTCTTCCCAACGTATGCATCAGGCAGTGGATGGGGTTCTTGGGGCTCTTTTCTTCTCCTTCTCCGCCTTCTTTCCTTTCCTACCACCCTTGCTGACCAAGTGACTTCAAGGAAGCAATAAGGAAACCATCCCCTTTGCCCCTGGCCCGTCCTTTCCCATGCAAGTGCCCTGATGAGGCGAAGACAAAGTCTTAACTGCTGACAACCTCTGAAAGACCACGGCGCAGCTGAGCTCTTCCTCCTGGGGGTGAGACCTTTCCTGGTGGGTTTCCCACCTCCCACCCCAAGCACCAACAGCCTTAGGTGGCACTGGCTGTGCGTGTCAGGGTCCACCCGCCTGCAATGGGTGATACTCCATCCCTCCCTCTCCCTGAGCCAGGAGGAGGACCACCACTGAGCTGCCCTCCCCTCTCTAGTCTCTCCCTTGTGCTCTCCCCATCCCCTTGTTGCCCCTTTCTCTTGTATGAATTGTCTTCTCCCCTCTATGTTAGTTGATTGAGCTGTTTTTTGTAGGTGTGTCCCAAACTCAATGTTAATGGTGCTGTTCTTTAAAAAATAACCAAAAAAAAACCCCCCAAACCTCAACAACAAAAAAACCCTCCCTAACCCAAGCAGCACAGCCAAGCCCCCCAAAGTGACATTGTAAAAACTGTACATGGTGATTGGAACTTTGTAATAAAACTGTTATAATAACCTTTTCCGCAGAGGTGCCGATTGTCGCGTCCTGCTGTCAGGGAGAGGGACGCAGCCGTGGCTGTGATGGTTCCTGCAGCATCCCAGAGGTGTGTGGTGAACAGTGGGTGTTCTGCAAGTCACTGTCAGTCAGCAGGGGCAGGATCACAGCCTCTCCCCTTTTATCACTGCTACAGCAACCTGCCTAGGCAGGAGCTGAGGATAGCTGCCAGCTCAGCGAGGCAGGAGCTGTATAAACCCTCCGTGTGTTTTGCACATTGCAGAGGTTCCCGTGTTCGGCGGCAAGTGACTGACTGGTGAGCTTGTTGGGGGAGCAGCAGTGCTGCCCAGCTCCCTGGTCCCTGAGCTCAGGAGGGCAGGAGCAACTGGAGGCGGCTGCGT